CAGTCTTAGCATCCACTTCTGCATGAGGTGCAAGTCCATCAAAACACCCTATTCTTTGCCACCTATCACACATCCTCTCATTAAGAMCTCACAGTACTTATTCCTCCATTTCCAAAGCTCCAGCCTTTTAATATTCACCTGCTGCTATGGATAACACTTACTACTAATGATTAATATTGAAAAGAGGCCTCACCTTAGCTCCAATTTGGTTTCCACACTGGCCAATCTGAAGATGCACAATTTCACGCATTTTTGTGTAGCTTGGACCTGTCAGTAGCTACWGTCTAACACAGGTTTTGTAGCTGCAGTTCCTAGAACAAGTACGTCCTCTTTCTGCTGCAGTATCAGCTACACCCAGAAGCGTCCGGCTCCAGGGGCCTTTTTATCAGTATAAAAAGGGGGGCTGTCACTCACGCACAAGGGGAGTAGCCAAGTCCTCATAAGTTGTTCATCAAAACGGTTCACTAGGGAGCAAAGTGTCTCCTCACTTCCTATACAGAGAGAGTATAAGTGCACACTGCCGAGCGAGGGTCAGAAAAATGTTCTCCCTCCTCCATTTAATTCTTTTTTTTTTTTTTCTGTGTAGCAAACAGTGATGCATGAATACTTATGCTCGTATTTATTACACTATTTTATACACACACACACACACACAGCTGTTATGTATAGCTATTTCCCACCAAAATGAGTAACGTTAATTTATTTAATGCATGCGTTGCTTTGGCCACACAATTTAAATTTTACACATCAGACAATAATAAACCACAACATCCCTGATCAAACCAATAGCAACTTCTGAGCATTAACCTTTTATGACAACAACACTCAGGACACTGCCATCTAGACCTGYAGTTCACTAATAAACATCAGCCTCAGTGTTCAACTGCCTTAAGGGACTGAGGAATGGAGAGGGTTAAAATGGGTTGCTCTTTCCTTTTATTTATATACACACACACACACACATATATAACGTGTGTGCGTGTGTGTGTGTGTATGTATACATGGCTATATATGTATACATATACATGTATGTATATGCATATGTGTGTTTATATATACACATGCATGGTATACATATACACACGTGTGTGTGTATCTATAGATATACATGTGTGTGTGCGCGTGCACATATATATATATATATATATATATATATACACACACACACACATACACATAAGCGTCTGTAAGGAGGATCCTGTAAGGCCTTCCTAATCTGTCTAGGCATTTTCCAGAAGTGCTGCAAAAAAAATCTAGGAGCTGAGCCAATCTACACGTACATACACAGTCACCCTCTCGTCATCTTCCCCCTTGGAGGTAGCAATTGTAGCCTTTTACTGAATATTAAAAATCACATCATTATAAATTATTTTATAATATAACTTGTTATGGTGTGTTTAACGTATGGTCATTTACTGTCATATCCATTATACAACAAAGTTAAATAACCATGTTCCAAGAACAGACTAGCGACGGGCACTCAGAGGCAAAGTATTTCTTATTTCATATTTCTTATTTTCTTATATCTGAAAAATAGCATTTCAGAATTTTTCAAGAAAATTTTAGAGGTGAAATCCCAGTCCCAATGATGTTAACTATAGTGTCCACAGTGTGCAATGCTTCAGAATGTTAAAGGAAACAATATAAGCCTGAGCAAAACATGACACGGTCATGTTGCCTGATGATAAAAAGGACTCATATCGCTGAGCACCAGAAACCCAGAAGTGTGTTTCATCTGGAAGTTTACAGAAGCTTTATTATATGTCAGTGTATTTGAAACATTACTTTTAAGGTCAGATGAAGGAACAAGAAACTAGTACTAAACTAGTTTGAATACAAAGACTCCACTGACACAGTGTCTTAACTCCTTGAAAGTAACTAATTTTACCAACTATGCAATTATTGGTTTAGCAACTACAAGTTGCTATAGATAAGAAATCTATAAGCTTCCATATTGTTCCAAAAGAAAAAAATCAGTTTATTCCAGACTTCCGCACTGCAAATGACCTCCAACTTTTGCATTGGCTAATGGACAGATAACTGTGCTTTGGAGAAATCTTACCGCAACAGGATCTTAAAAAAAATAGCTAACAAACTTATTGCCATCCTCAGACATTAGAATTAGGATTAATTAAACATTTTTAACYATCCTTAACAATGAAATGAGAAGCAAGCAACCTTAAAAATTAGGTATACTAATTTTATTTATTTATAGATTTATTCGCTAAACAGCTTAGTTTCATTAGAAAGTCAGTAAAGCTTTTACTGTGTTTAATTGTTGCATTGTAGGCATTCTCTAAAACAAATTTCTGGAAAGTTTATTTGGAGGGGTTTTTTTTGTCTTTGAAAACTACTTTCATCTTATTTACGTACAATTTTTATTTGTTTTCTGCATCTATGCTAGAAGGAGTAACTGCACTTTGTATTAGATACTCAATTACTCAATTGCTGCATTCTGACTGGGAGCTGTACAATGTATCCAACAGCTATAGAGAGTAAATAAATAATATTTTTTTAAAATATGAAATGTATTAAACTACATAGTCAAAACTTGTAAAGAAGCTAGAGACTTTGATTGAGTGATCTGCTGGCCAAATATGTTTGTAAAATAATTCCCAGCAATAAATACATTTACTGAGAGCAACTCAGAAAAAAAAAAAAAAAAAAAAAAAAAAAAAAAAAAAAAAAAAAAAAAAAAAAAAAAAAAAAAAAAGGAAGGGAAACAGGAAAAAAAGGAAGTGAGAAAAAAAAAAAAATGCAATCACTCAACATTTTTTTCTCCTGCTAAAAATAGTCCTCTTGAATCATATGTCTCCTATAAAACATTTCTTCATACAGACTTGAAAAATGACTGCATGGAGCAGAAAGCACTGGAGTATTTTCTGAAGCTTTTCCCTTGCCCCTGCAAGAATATTTCTGTGAACAGCCAGGTCTTTTTTTTTTTTTTTTTTTTTTTTTAATATACAAAAATAGGTCTGTGAAAAGCATGTTTCTTTGTAGATTTTGTTTGTTAGCAGCCATGTCATTCTTTAGCTCCTAGAAACCTCAAGCCTGTTAACAGCATTAATGCGCTTCCCAGGCGCAGCCTTCGAACATGTGCTGCTGCAGATTAGCAGCATGTACGTCACCCAGGAAGAGGTGAGCGGAGTGGAAGGGCTGGCTGCAAGTGGTTTTCAGCACAGCGGTGATTAGGCACAGCCTGGCACTGGACAGAGCTTGTACCAGCTCATCCCACAGTTTCTATTCTCAGTCTACTTCCACTGTCTGCAGAGTGTGCTAAAGATACCCAAGCACAGGAGATGGCTGAAAGCCAAAGCCACAGATAAGCATTTTTTATTTTTATTTTTATTTTATTTTATTTTATTTTATTTTATTTTATTTTATTTTATTTTATTTTATTTTATTTTATTTTATGTTGTTTGTACCACTATAATAGATGTACACGCATGTGCCCTAGCACTCTGGGAAGTTTCTTCTTTTTTTTTAAAGCATGGTTTACTTGGAAGGAACTAGTTTTGCACAATAGCAGAAAATACATTTTGCTTTTTAACCACAAGCCGCTTGCAACACTTTCAGCGCTGTTACTCACAGTCTCATCCTTGGCACCTTCTCCATAGGGTAGAAAAGAGCAAGACCCCTTTTCTAAGGCTCCTTCAGAACTACTTCTGGTTTTCTGAGCCTACTGAGAAGAAAAACACTATTTAGTTTGAATTGAACCGACTAGGCTACCAACTACCAGCCCACAGTGGCTCATCACGGCTAAACCTAGCCACGCTGTCCTCAGGAAAACTGTTTAGTTCGGTGGCACCAAACATGACCTGCTTCCCATTTTCATTTCAGCTAATAATAAAAACTGTTTAAAGATCAGTTCCCTGCAACAGATGGTCCAGAGGAGGGAAAGCAGTCTCTTTCTGCCCTCGTAATAACATACAGCTTATTGTAGATTATTAACAATATACAGAATATTATTATGAGTATGTATTTTTAAACTAATATTAGATGCACTTTTTTAAAGCTAACAGCTCTTGTTTACCCAACTGATCAGYGACTTCCCCTGTGGTGCAGAACTATAACCAGTCAAAAACTCGTCTTTCAGCAACGTGAACTCACTTGCTGAGCAGTGCAGGTTTGGGGCTGTACAAGCACATTTACTGTTGAGCTTGACTCATTTTGCGACTTGCCAAAAAAACGGCCACCTGAACATTAGTCAGCCTCATTTCCGGGCTCCTCTGTTGGTTTTGGTGCTTTTCGTCTTGCTGCCTCAGTTTCTCCATGGGTAAAGTTGACCCAAGAAACTTTATGCTCTTTACTTAAAAACTACTTCAGCCGTGAGGTGAGAGCCAGCTATGGCCTGCCAAGTGTGAAAGCTGTATGTAATACAGGCAAAAGAGAGGCTGGGAGAGACTGTAGCTGCCCATACAGGTACTTCAAAGCTTMTTCTGGAAAATTCAACTATTTTTACTCCTGAACATACCTTGAAACAAGTTTGGCGACTACGGAACTTTCAGATGACCCTAATCCTGAAGATCAGCCTAAAAATGTGGATTAGCTTGCATTTCTCTGTAAAATTGCATCACAGTAGTACTTCAGAAATGAAAAACTTGCAAGCAGTAGAACAAATAGATGAGACAGCTTCGCTGAGGGGAAGCGCGTGCCGAGTCAAGGCTCGGTCACCAGCTGAGGTGACTGAGTGGGAGGGCCACAACATGGCGGCCGGAGGTCTCAGTTTCGYTGCCTTCTGCTCCCACTTAGCCCGCTCCGACACGACGAGGCCTCAGGACCCGCACGTGGCACCCGGCATGGCTGGGCCCGCGCTGATAAAGAGGAGCGGCAGAGGGATGCCCGGCCTCAGCCGGCAAGGGGGAGCCGCGGGGCGCCCGCGTGCGGCGGCGCGGGAGGCCGCAGCCCCCCCAGCGTGGAAGGAGGCGGGCGCCAACCCGCCCTCTCCCCGCCCGCCCTTAAATGCAGGCGCCGGGGGCGCTGGACGGTTTTGCTGCCGTCCCCTCGTGCCGGCATGGACAGGCTGCCCCGGCGCCTCCCGCTCCTCCTGCTGCTCTGCGGCTGCCTCTGGCCGTGCCCGCCCGCCCGGGCCGGTCTCCACTTCAGGGAAGGGCAGCACTGCTACAAGCCGGCGCGGCGGCAGCCGGCCGGCCTGAGGTGAGGCCCCTCGCGGCCCCCATGCCCGCGGACACCCCGGCCGCTCGCGGCCTCTGGGACGGTTCAGGACGCGCAGCCCCCCCGGGGTGTCCGCGGAGGGACAGGGGCGAGCCGGGTCCCCAGGCCCCGTCACGAGGGCTCGGTCACGTTGTCCCGTGTCACGTGCTCCGCGCTGCTGCCGGATCGCACGCCTCCTCACGAAACTCTGGGGGGATTTTCTGTCTTTTTATATATATATAGATATATATAGATATACACACACACACAAGCAAATAAGTATATAAACCCCCATATATCTGTGTGGATGTATATACATATACGCATATATATATATATATATATATATGCACACATACACAATTCCTGTTTGCTCCAAAATGCAGACATCAGCTTTTTTTCCTTTTTTTTTTTTTTTTTTTTTTTAAAGGAACCAGTGCGTTTTGGGTTTTTTTTTTGATTGTTTTGTTTTGTTTTGATCTCACTACAGGACTTACCCTCGCCCACATGAGTACCTGGACATCTCCAAGCTGCCCGCAAGCTGGGACTGGAGGAACGTGGATGGGGTCAACTATGCCAGCACCACGCGGAACCAGCACATCCCGCAGTACTGCGGCTCCTGYTGGGCCCACGGCAGCACCAGCGCCCTGGCAGGTACACGCCTCAGCTGGGCTGGCTCTTGCTCCCGGGGAGCTGTAGCTTTTGGTAAACAAAGGGTGTTTTCAGCTTGCAAAGGTATAAAGAGCAGGCATAAAGTGCAAAGTGCGAGGGCTAGAACAGCAAAGACAGGCTGAGAGGAGGATGGCAATTCCTACTCTGACAACTCAAGACTTTGGTCTTTAGAGGAAAAGCAAGCAGACTAAGGCTATCTCCTCCCTCTCACAATTATGCAAGTGTGGGGGGAATACTGAAGCAGTTAAAAAGCTGTTTGCAGAAGGAATACACTTAGTACTTCTACAGAGCTGCTACTAAAGGCCAGCAGTAAGAACTGGGGTTTCTGCCCCTCTTTTTGGCAAGGGTAAAGATAAAGACGCTCAGCCCAGCATTATTTCTTCACTTTGCTGATACCCTGTTCTGCTACATTATGTCCAAAGCAGTGAGGGGCTCCTGTTTTGCAACTTGAGTGATACCTAGAAGATGGGGAGATGAAAGGAGCCGCTTCTCAAGTRAGAGGGCCTGTGGGGCATTAGCTTGTAGAGCCTTGTTAGTCAAAAGAAATGACTAACACGCTACAGAGGCAAATATGGTTTTCTCTTCCCCTTTTTGAGTACAGGGGAAAGGAAAATAGAAGTTTGTTTCAATTGGGGGAAAAAAAAATCTAGAGAAAACACACGATGGTTTGCACACAACTACTTTGGTTCAGTAACATCCTGCAGAATTCCTGTTTGATTAGGGAGCTTGTTATAAGGATTAARCCTAAAGGGAGAATGGAGGAAATGGTGAAGAGGACAAGACCTTACAGGTGTGCATGAGGAGATGGCAAGACTTGTGAAGGATCCATTCTTAGGCAATACAGCAGTACAGACATATGAAACGTGCTATGATGTAATAATTACTAGACAGATACATACTTAAGTTTCTAACTAGAGTTAAAATTTAAAAGATTGAGTATATGTATATGCCTTTTTTTAAAGTATAGAAGTTTGCTTTTTAAAAAAATGAAGGTACTTTTATCTGCAAGGAATAGTTACAGCATCAATTATTTCTTTCTTGCCTTTTTTTTTTTTTAATTCCTCATAGACTAGACTAGGATAATGCCCCATTAATTCTTGTGAAGCATTCTACCAGTTCTCTATCAAGTACCGTCAGAGTCATAAGTACTAACAGGATTTAAAGCACTCTAGTGGCATTAGTTAAGACTGTTACTGCACTAGAAACATCAGCATATAAATACAAATTATGAGTTTTTTTTTTGACAAACAAGTAGTGCTTCAGACAAAAAAAAACCAGTATGCTGAAACTTCTCTGAGATGGTATAACTGCAGTATGTTTACATAACAATATGGATAATACCCCTGAATGCTTTTCCTTGATTAAAGATTGCAAAAATTATCTCTCAGAGGTGGAGACCTGAGATGCATGGGCTTATTGCTGATCCATATAGGACTATCTACTTCTGTTAAAACGAGAGTGAAAACTGTTTTCCTGATGTATTTGAGACCTCTTTTCTCTCAAGGCAAGTAAACAGATTGGGAAGTTCTCGTGGGATTAAAGGGATCTTACTCAATTACATATTTCTGCAGAGCTTTTAGTGGAAAATTCTTCTAATGGAAGCATCAGCTTGCACACTCAAGTTAAGTCATAGTGTGAGTCTCACCATCTAAACCAGAGGCTTTTTCAATCACAAATACTGTTGCCTGCAAACAGAAGAGTAATCAAGGGCGCAGTCTTAATATTAGTTGCCATGAATAATAGCTCTGATACTTCAACTAACAAGCCCCATTCCTTATTCTTACAGATCGAATCAACATAAAGAGGAAAGGTGCATGGCCTTCTGCCTACCTTTCTGTCCAGAATGTCATCGACTGCGCTAATGCAGGGTCCTGTGAAGGTGGAGACCACACAGGTGTTTGGATGTATGCCCATGACCATGGCATTCCAGATGAGACCTGTAACAACTACCAAGCAAAGGATCAAAGTATGCTACCTACTGAATTTGCTGTAGGGTTTTAGCCCTGATTTGTCAGATCATAGTGCAGAGAAATAATAGTTCCTTAGGTTTTGAATTTATTGGTTTCTGCCTTTTGGTGTAGTACCTACCTGTTGCTTAGCTGACAAAACAGGTTTCCTTACAGGTCAGCATGTGTGGTGCTGTGTCTGTGTTGTGCTCCTTTTAGTTTTTTATTTTAGTCAGACAGCATAGCGATAAATCACGTCCAAACAGGTTTGTACTAGCTATGTTGCTTAAATTTAATCTCTTATGTCTCTGCTATACAGTCTCCAATGTACTGAAATATTCAAAACCATCACCTCAAGCTAAGCAAAGCAGAAACATAACCTTTGTATGTTCATGTCTAACTGGAATTGAGAAACAAGTTTGAGTTATTTCATCATCCCGAGGCCTTGTGCTGCTGAAGTAAGGAGTAATAACTTGTGATTGTATAGACCTTTAAAGTGCCTTTAAAAAGGATTTAGCTCACTGGCAAAGATATGTGTTAGTAATTATTCTTAAGCTACGAATAACTGCATCAGTACTATATCAGTACATGCAGTACTRTTAATTAAGGTAAAGCATCCTCTTGTGGTGATAATCTCACTATTGCTTTGTAGAATGTAAGAAGTTTAACCAGTGTGGAACTTGTGTTACCTTTGGAGAATGTCATGTGATACAGAACTACACTCTCTGGAAAGTTGCTGACTATGGCTCTGTCAGTGGAAGGGAGAAAATGATGGCAGAAATCTACACAAATGGACCAATTAGGTAAAAGGAAAAAGAACAAACCTTGAATGGTAGCAAAACAAACATAGCTATTGCTACTGTGCAAATGGAAATACTTGAAATTTCTCTGCTCTGACAGATGTGAGGTGCTGTGGCTAAGTGGCAGACTTTGGGTAATTTGTAGTTACACTCACTGAAGTTAAAATGCAAAAAGTTATTTAGTTACTTTTTTAAATAGGCTCCCACTTCCCTATGTAAAGATGTTTACTCTGTTTTATTACAGCTGTGGTATAATGGCTACTGAAAAGTTGGATGCTTACACTGGAGGACTTTATACTGAGTACAACCCCTCCCCTGTGGTGAATCACATTGTATCTGTGGCTGGTTGGGGTGTGGAAAATGGAACAGAATATTGGATTGTTCGTAACTCATGGGGTGAACCCTGGGTAAGAAAAGAGTGGAAGAAGCATGCGTGCAAAAGTTACTTTAAAGAAAAGATGGAGGCCACTTTTTTTCTTGCAAATGGGAAACAGGAAAGGTTGCCTGTGGATAGCAAAAATAAGACTTTTCTTGAAAAAGACTAGTCATTAGAAAATTAAACCTAACTAACTTAAGACAGGGCTAATCAGCCAAAGGTACTTGGCTACTCTTATCTCAATCCCAAATGCTGCCCTTCCTGACACACAGCTCCTGTTAGAGGCAGCTGTAAATTGCTGTTAYAGGCAAAAATGAAGTCATGTACCCAGAATAGAGGGAGGAGATGTAAATTCACCAAACTGCCACTTCAAACAGGGCTGCCCTGTGAACCCATTGTTGCACTTTTTACATCAGCCTGGGAATTAACTCATCCATGTTTGGCAGGCAGAATGGATGCACTAATACATATTTTCTAAAGTTAACTAATGTTTTCTAATTCACAATGTTATGCTTATAGTAACACAAATTAATCCTTTACAGGGTGAAAGGGGGTGGCTGAGAATTGTGACAAGTGCATACAAAGCTGGAAAAGGAGCAGAGTACAATCTTGCTATTGAAGAGGACTGCGCATATGGAGATCCTGTACTTCCTTGAGTCTRCACTGAGCATCTTTAGGAACTACTTGGTTTGAAAGCTTCCCAACACTATCTTTTTGTTTACAGAATAGTCTAAAATTCTTTCACAGTTCACTATAAGCAGGCAATTCTGCAAGCGTAGCCCAGATAGCAACACACAATGACTTGGAAGAAAAATAAATACAGAGCCAAGACTACCTGCCTGCTGACAGTTAGCTTTAGGTGACTAAAACACAAAACAGTTCAAGCAATTATCCATGGAAAAAAAGTTTGTCTGCCTTGAAACACAGCATTTAAATGCTATCAGCTTACTCACAGAAACTGTATAGATAAGTCTATTTTTTTTTTAAATACAAATTCTGTAGATATACTAGGTAAAAAAACAAAATGAACTTGATGTACTTGTTTAGAGCTCATACTAAACTTTAGCAAAGTATCATAATACCAAGGAAATATCACCTAAAGGAGATGAAAAAGCTATGTCTGGACAGGATATATTCATAAACTAAATTCTATGTTATTTCTCTGGTCACCTAATGAAACAATATTATTGCTGGACTTGTACAATGCAGTTACTTTTATCCAACCAGAAATGATGAAACAGGAATAATATTTATCAGTCTTTGCTTTGATTGGCTGTGCTATTTTTCTCCTACAGCAGCAAAGTATAATTTATGTCTGTCATCAGAGTTCCCTTCACACTAATACAAGGAAAAGGAGCCAGTTCTCTTGCTTAAGCCTGGCTAATTACTAAGAGACAATCAGTGCCATAACAAGTGTCATTAACTGCCACTCTTAATTACATTTAATAAACTGACATTTTAATACTACATGATTGTATGTGGATTATAAGTGCTTGTAAAGAGGCACTTTCAACTGTCTTCTACTGTTCTGGTACCTGACTTGCAGTTTACTGCAGCAGAATAGCCATCCAAAGCTAAAATAGAATCATACTCCTTTAACATGACTTTATGATTTCATCTTGTGAAATGGCTTGGTGGGCATCATCATCTACCCAGCCACTATCAGGTCTTTCAATGAGGGACAACAGCGAGGGAAAAGAGGAGGAGAAAAAAAAAAAAAAAACAACTCAGCCTTTCACCTATACTTAAGGCTGAAATGCAACTATGAGAACACTGAGTGGAATTCTGACACAGAAAGAAGAAATGTCCAGATACGGTAAAACACAACATACCAATCTCTGAATTATGCCTCATTAAACTTCAYAGCCTAAAGCTTTTCAGGGGTACAGAGAAGGAAAAAACAGTCTCAACCTGAAACTGACTCTCTTGCTGTGTTCCCATTTCTGCAATTTATCATGCTTTTATCTGTGAAAGTGAGGGAAGTTGTCTTATTATTCTCAGAAAGGTAAATGGTAAAGATTTGTAAAAGATTAAGATGTCCAGTGTCTAGGAGGGAGGTGAGGTGGGAGTACTGTGTAATTAGTTTCTGGTTCCAAGTATTTGATCATCAAACAGAACAGCTTCAACTCTTCTTACAAAGAGACCATCTCTTSTACTTGAGGTTAAGCCACATCCTGGGAGACTTTGAATCCTGTCTTTTGTAGTTGCCTTAGTGCATGATTTTTGGGAGAAGTTGAAGCATTACATCCAGTTAGTGTGCTCTCTGTCCCCTACACTATTCATGTCTCCAGCCTGCAAGACTGAGCTCAAATAGGTGTTTAGGTAAAAGACAAAATCCACAACTGAGAGGCCTGAGAAGTGTGATGTTCAGTTCCATCTTTCTCTCCTTTCATTTTACCCCAATGTAGCTAAATACCTCCAAAGTACCAATGGTTATTACTTCAGCTGCAGTGCCTTGCCTACTCAAGTCTTACACAGGATGGTTATGAACAGGGGAACATCTTAATACCACCAGTACTTTAACTACCTCCAGTGACCCACAAGAGAGTGCTGAGGAACACAAGCGTTTTAAGTAAACCATACCAGGCTTGAACACAGAAGGAAGCCGAAATGTTTGTTTCAGAACTAATCCAGAAAGCTCAATCACMGTGGGGATTAGCTAATGGAAAGGAAGATACGTTTCCTTTCAAAAAAGGAATAAAAGCCTTTATAGTTGATTGCTGTCTCAATCATGAGCCTGTTAGCTTGAAGAGTTCATATCCATGAATCAACATGACAACAAAAAAGAGGAAAACAGTTTTGTTTATAAGCTTACACCGAGTTGGACTTTTAAAGTCATATAACTACATCTTTTAGAAAGGTTTAGAAAAATAGATGTTTAGAAAAAAATCCGTTCCTTCATTTTATACAAATAGTATTTACATGTATAAAGGGAATTCTCACCTAAATATACAAGAAAAATAGTGCTCTTTTGAAACTTCAAAGCTCTTTTTTAAAAAAAAGCCTTTATTTAAAAGTAAGTTATGGTCTAGGGTGTGTTCTCCTCTGTTTAGGATCAATCATGATAGAGAAATTTGAAAACAAGTCACACCAAATAGTATCGATTTTTTGCATACATTCATGTTTAACAGTAGAACTCTGACATGGTAATGAAACTTACCAGTAATATTTGGTGCACCTATTTAACAAAAAACATACAAAAAATCTGAAACAAACAAAAATCTAGAACTCCAGTTTTTACACAAAACATGTTTCTTCATAAAAGTAAACAAACAGGGTTGTTAGATGTCTAATGTAATGCAACAGTGAAAAATAGGCATTCTGGATTTTCCAYATCACAGATCTAATCATACAAGCTCCTTTATGTAACTCTCAAGATCAAAGCTTAGTTCACTGAAAACTAATCTTGCCTCTCTATCTGGTTTTCCTAAGAGCTATCATAAGAACATGAATGGAAAGTCATGTAATGAAAAATACCATTCGCAGAACAAAAATAATTTGTTTCAGCTACCACCTTCAGAATAATTAATTTATACTGATTTGTGTAACAAAGATCCTGAACTATCCATTTTTTTTTTTATAAATTAATCCATTTTTCCAAAGTACCTCATGAGTCCTCTGATATGAAGCTCAAGGTCACTGTGCAAATGAACTAAATGTCCTTCAGCTCTTTCTTCCTTGACTTTTTTTTTCCTCCCTGYTATGTTGCCCAGTTACAGAAACTTMCTGGTGGAGAGTGTGGCAAAGCAGTAACCATACGTTCTGCATTCTTGATGTTTCCGCTGCTTAGTTCATCATAATAAAGTTAGATTTGCAGTGAGCTTAAAACAAATGAAAAGACAGTGTTTCACTCCAGTATACCTGTTTGCTTGAATTTCTGCATTACATAAAGTAATTAGGATTTCAGGCATTAAACATGTCATCTTATTCTCAGGTAGGAGTATATGACAAAAGAGTAACACTTAGAGGGGGGGAAAAAAGAGAAAGTAGTGTAAATTCTCCAAAAGCAGGACTTCTCACTTCTACCCATACATTCTTGATTACATAGAAATTCCTAAAGATAGTTCCCTAAAACAGAGGGTATATAACCTGTGAAGAGAGTTGTCAGGCATACCCCCTCCTTTTTTAAAAAGAGTTATAACAAATACAGAAGGAAGTGGGTATGAAACAGATAATTTTGCCTTACCTATAAACTCAGTGACAGGATCATGTTCACCTTCTGTTTTAATAGTACCTGCAATACTTTCATTCTCCAAGATTGGAAGAAAAAGTTGTACAAAGTCTGAGGTGTATGGTGGAGCAATCACATCCAAAACCTGAAACAGTAGGCAAAGGTGGATTATTCTTCCAGTTGAATAGGTGGTTTAGGCAATATCTAATACACAATATTCTTATTGAAGGCATATAAATAGTTGTACTTTTAAGAACTCCTGTTCTCCAAGTGATAAACTCTGTATTCTTGTAGTACTCTACCCAGTAGCTTAATACTTTCACAAATCAGGATCCAGTAGGACTATATCACATCCTTGTGACTATCACTATTTTTTTATATATATATATATATATATATATATACAGAGTGCACGCTATATATTGATACATATATACACACACACACACATATATATGTATCAATATAATCTCAAAATCTGGTTTCTTATCTTGAAATATATTTTAATCTGAGATGACTTGAACTTCAGTATCAATCATAACTAACTGCTTGGATGTTATTTCTGCTTACTAGTCAACAAAAATATGGTTGCTAACCTCTGTAACAAAGTATCTGATGAGAGAAATATCTGTATCTAGCTTCTCCAGACATTTGCGGATATAACTGACAACAGGCAGAACATATCCACGACTGAGTAAGTGCACCATTCTATCCAAGAGAGTTTTCTTCAATTCCAGCTAAAAAAGGGAAAGAAAAAAAATGCTGAATGAGGAGAAAACACGAGTTAGAATTCCCTTTCAATATTACTCATCCTTATTGATTCAGTATCTGTCATGTTACTTCTTTTGAAAGGACAGGATTTCTAAACTCCATAAAACTGCTGTGACAGCAGAAGCAGTTATCCTCACTGAAAGCAACACAAACACCGAATCCTTTGAGAATCACCTGCTCCATTACATCAAGTTGAGAATGTTCTGTTTCAAAGAGCTTGACAAGAAGCTGCAGAACTTGGGGATGAAGGAGCTGATGGCACGTACTGATCTGCAAACAAGACAGCCAAGTAAGAACATTAGAATTAAAAACATATTCCCTCTTTATCAGACAAGCTTGTTGAGTGCCAGACAGGGATTTTTTTATTTTTAAAATGTTCTACTATTGCCTCCTTTGATGCCTAAATTTCCCTAGTGTAAACATAGCTGAGTTGACAAAACTAATTAACTAATTCTGAACTGAAATAGATTCATTTCCATGTGTTTACTGAATTACAGCAAGTGTCAAGTATTAAGTGAACTGGATGTAAGTCAGATACCATTAAAAAAAAAAAAAAATTGTTCTCCAGCAAGATTTTCCATATCTTACCTCATCCAGTAATGCCAGATGCACTGGCGTGTGATCAGTCTGCAGCTGAAAATATCGTGGTTCTGACACTGTCCAGTCCACCCACTTTAATACACCCATTGCCACCACTGGAAATCTGCAAAAGAAGAGTTCATTTAGTAGGAAGCATTCAGGGAAAGAACAGTACATTTTAAACATCATCTTTTGAAAGTTACTTTTGGACCACATTTTTACCTATTCTACAACAAGAATTTTCTCACAGAGTTCCCTGCAAAAACACTTCCTTTTAACATTTCCTGTTGACAAGCAGCTTGGGACCAGTATTTGCTCTCACCTGATACACTGATAGAGGGTGCTCAGTTCTGCAACCAACTCTGATGCACCTTTGTTCTCATTACAACATAAGTTGTGAACAGTTTCAATGGCTTTTGAAGTTGATTTGAGTTCATCTTTGTTTATGCTGACTCTCTTATTCTGAGGAGAAAGAGAAGAGGAAAAAAAAAAAAAAGCGAGACATGAATAAAGAGGATATCCCTGGCTACTTGAGGAGAGGGGTTGCAACTGGCTATAGGACTAAATTCACGTTACATTTCCTAAAATGCAGGTTCACATGCAAGTTTTAGAACTAARTAAGAGTTGAAGCATAAACATTTCCCTTATCTAATCCCCTAAGAATTACTGTAACTATTTTAGTTTATAGAATTCATCTTCCTCCAAAAAGCACATACAGTTCTAACAGATAGTAGATATCTGCTACTGATATCCTTTTGGATAAACTAGAATACAGAAAGACAACAAAAATATCCAATGCAGTGAAACTTTCACAGTATGATTTGATCTTCAGAGGTATTCAGGATTGACAGTTCCAAATATTTCAGTTGACATAAATCAGAATACATTATTTTAAACTAAGAAATCTCTTAACCATAGAAGTTCTTCAGCAGTTATATCACTGTAGTTAAAAAGAACATATTATTCACAGAACTGAATATTACCTTTTTCCACATCTCTACTACACTAGCTGCGTATGCCAGTATGTGAATATATTTATGTTTGTGGTCCTGATTGATCTTAGCACCTGGCTTAAACAATGACTGCATGAAGAGGTCCAGAAAAGCAGGTACTCGAATCTGTGAAGGAAAGGAATGGTTTATGAGAACCTAAGAATTATAACAAACGTCTAAAACCAAGATTTTTGCATCTGACGAACCCTGCATAGAATAAGGCACTAGCAAGAAATTTTTGTCTTATGAATACATTAGATGTCTGGGCCTTTTAGGGAAACTTATGGCATTAAAAAAGGAAAGCTAATAGGTGTATGTATGTATGTAACTTTTACCATTTGTTATCAGAAATCATGTTAGAGAAAGACTGTGAAAGGTTTGAAACAAATTACCTACCCCTATTTAAAAAAAAATGCAAAAATTGAGATTATCTTCTTTTAAAATAAGTTAATTAGTTCTTTTCTAACTTTAATGCAAGCAATTATAGGAAAGGAAAAAGAAAAAAAAACCCAAACAATTTGGAATGGAGAAAGAAGAAAGAAAAAAGAAAAGCAATGAAATAAAGAGACACTACTAACCAGTTCTACTGGAGGCGGGTCCATGCTTGTAAACATTTTGAACAGGACAGTGATATCTGCTGGATTCAGAGCTCCTTTCGACAACATTGCACCAAGTGCTTGACATGCTCGAGGATAGGAGGCAGCAGTACCCAGTGCTAAAGTGATCTGACTAGCATCATGGCCTCTTGATAAAGAACATAAACATTCATGAGAACTTATTTTCTTAAATCAGAACTTATTTTCTTAAATCGGACATACTATTTTTAGCCTTAGGACTGACCCCATCACCTTGGACAATTACAAAAATATGACTGTATTTCTCTTATTTCTAAATTATGCAAAGAACATATATATTTTTTTACTAGATAGACACTTTCTTCAGCTCTTAATTCTTGCTATTTCAAGTCTCTTAGAACAGGACACTGAACCTTTCAGTTGTTTTAAGGATTATGGCCAAAGTAAAAACCACTCAATTGTAAATGATTGCATTCTACCACAGCATTTACAAAAAGGTAAGAACTCCCCCTCTACTGGTACAAGAATGCACAAAAGATAACAATTCAWATTACAGTGACTTACCTTGCACAAAGAAATATAGCAAGCACTTACTTTTCATGAGCATATCGCTGAACCTCCTGAGCGATCCGCCTGACAGCTGACCCTCCCTGCTCTTCTTGGGCTAATATGGACATCATAGATTGAGCAAAGAGATACGTGTGTTCTCCATGGCACACCATCTTCTGTGAATGCACACAGCAAAACCATATCAGTCAGCAAGAAATATGCCAGTATTCTTCTATGAAAACTTCCCTTAATAGGAAAGGTTACACTGAAATGTACTACTGCAAAGAAAGAAACAACAGCCAGTAAAAAAGTAGAGGAAAAAAAAAAACACAGCATCACTATGCATTGACATCATGCAAGAACTAAGTATTAAATCTTTAATTTCTGGATTTTAAATGCTGGACTTGAGAGGGAGTCATGACCTACTCATTGTGCTGCACTTTCGCTGCAATATATGTCACCCAAGTAAAATGCCACACAAATCTCACTACACTATTCCACAAAAAAGAACTAATCACTGACACAGATTAGAACAGAATTATTTTAATTTRCCAGAGGTCTGACTAGACTTCTCTTTAAATATTGCATTAAATGTGAAATAAGACATATTTATTTCATCTTTATACAATTAATAAACATGTCAGTTAAGCAGGTTCCCATTCTTCCCCTCCCCAAAAAAAAAGAAAAAGAAAAAAAAAAAATCATGGTGACTGAATAGTCAGGGTTAGGTAGCAATTTTTTTTTAAACCTAGATACACCTTCGCTTCAAAATATTTTGCAAGATTTTGTAGGACTTCAAGATTTTCTACAACCATGCAAGAATTTGTACAGCCTATCCTGAATTTCTTTTTCCCCCCATATGAAAGAGAAATAAAAGTATTACAGCAAACTCAGGGAGGTTTTTCTCAAGGTTTTCTTCTCCTCCATCTAAAATTGTTGCCAGAGATGTACGCAAGACTCTAGAAAAAACTTCCAGCTGYTGACATGCTGTTGAAACGCTGGTTATTTCCCCTTGATATCCAGCATCAGAAATAAGCTACAACAATAACAGAAAAAAACCCCACAGAATATATTATTTAAGTTTATACTAGAAATACCCGAGTCTGGAAGAACACAAAACRTAAGAGGTGTTTCAAGAATTTGCAAATACAGATCAAAGAAAAAAAAATTACAAAAACAATATGGAAAAGTAGAAAACTACATTTACCACTGACAACTTGTAACATAATTTCTTCTACAGTTAAGTTCTTGTATTSTTCTGATATGAATAAGCAGTGTTAAGAGGAATACAAGAGACATGCAAGCAGGACAACAGCTGATATTTAACACCAGAAGRATTAGGAAGCAGTATTCTCCATTTATTAGCTTGAATGTATTACCTTCACAGTAAAATTAAGCATCAAGCAGTCTGGATGTGCTTCTGCCAGCTTGTAGAAGAGATCTCTCCATGTAGTATGTGCTATCATTTGCTCAAGCCAAGCTGGAGTCTGAAAAAAATTAGAGAGGAAAGGAGGTAAGAATGTCTAGTTGTCAAGATACTCGGAAGGAAAACTTCTGAGTTTTGTGAATCCTCTAAGTTGTGACACAGATCAATAATAAAAACTAAACTGTATCCAGAATTTAAGTAGCCACTGAGAATGCCAATGAAATATACCTGATTTTAAGAAACAATAAGGAATAAAAATTCCTTTCACAGAAAAGGACCTTGGCAAGAGAAAAGAAGCTCTACATTATACCTCCCACTCCATCAGATGAAGGAATCTATAGAAGACTCACTCACATAAAGACAGCAATGTGGACTCCATACACACCTCTCCTTCCTCTGTAAAGATGGAATCTGCTTTCCGAGGATCAAAATGCTTGATAAGTAAGCTCTTCAAATGATTTTCTACAGTCTCCTGAACTTGCACTGGCTCAACACCTGTACAGAAGGAACAAAAAAAGGTCAGCAGATGCTGCATTTCCTGCATAAATGTTTGGGATCACAGGTTACACTAGTCCTTTTCTTAAGCTCTCCTCATCAGTCATGTAAACAGCAATGCCAGTCATCTCACAAGAGGAACAATTTATGATATCTTGTAACATATTATTTACTGTCAYGATACTGAAAAGCGCTTATAGCCTTATACAGAAATGCTGTAATACACAAGTGCATAAAGGAATTGCAACATGTATGCTTAAAACCTCTTCRCAACAAAGAGAATTTAGTCACATACAGGTGAGAGCTTTCACACTATCCACTCGTCACATATGATCCAATGTGCCACCAGTCCAGGCATTTCTAACAAAAGCCACAAAGCGGCACCGTGCGGCCTGTCCTACCTGTCTGAATGAGCCACTCTGCCAGCAGGTTCACAGTCTGGGCCACGGCAGTGTAGTTTTCAGACAGCAGCTGGATCACATTCTCTGGGGAACCTCCTGCTTGGAAATACCTGATGAAAGGATTAGAGAGGAATTATTTAAAGTCATTATTATATTAAAACAAGCAAACAGACAGGTGASGTCTCAAGGGAAAACAGTGGCATGATCTGTCCCTTTATCACACACTTCTGCAAGGAGCTGGGGGTACCACCCACCAAGCCGGCTACACCTACCTTTTTAGTGTGTTAAATATAGAGGGCTCCATGATGTAGTCCCGCGTGGAGAACTTCTGCAAACACTCCTGCTGGACGCCAGCATCGTCCTCTCCCTCGCCGTCCTCGTCGTCCTGCTGCTGGCGGGGGCAGCCACGTTAGGGCCTCCTCCCCGCACCAACACACCCGGGCCTCCTCTCAGGGAGGCTGCACGGCGGGCTCCGCGCTCCAAGCCCCGGCCAAGCCGCGGGCCGCCCGCCCCGCCACACACGGGCCACGCAGGCCCGGCCGCCGCCGCCCCGCCAGGACTCACCGCGCCGCCGTCCGCGTCGTCGCCCCACTCCGCCGTGCTGCCTCCGAAGTAATCGGCATCCTCCATGGCTCCCCGCGGCCGAGGAAGCCACGGCGGCGGCAGAAAGGARGCCGCGGCCGCCTCCCCCTTGGGCGGAGCGGCGCGGAATGGCGGGCGGCCGGAGGGCGGAGCCGCGCGCGGCGGCGCTGCCGTGACGGGGCAGCGCCGCCATGAGGGGCCAAACGCGGGAAAAGGGGGGTTCTGGGGGAAAAAACTCGTTTTTCTGTCGCTTCGCGGTGGCGAGGTTTTTAGTTTTAGTTTTAAAATTCCTCACACYACAAAAGCTCTCCAGAGCCGAGGGCGATCGAAAGAGGAGAAAATAGATGTGTGGTTTTTCTGAGTCGAATTTAGCAGCAAGCGGTTTCCTGGCACTTACCAAAGCATGAAGAGCATATGGGAGAAAAAAAAAAAAACAAGTAACAAATTAGTAGCAATTATTAACCGTTACAGTCGTGATGAAAATAAAAATAATTAGCAGGTAGAAAACTGTTGGACCTTGTAAAGAATGGTGAAGATAAGTGGAATAACAGTGTTTGTCCATGTTTACGGCCCAGCACCAGGGTAAATCTTATGTCCCTCAAAACTTCCAAGAGAATAATATTGAAACACATATTTAAACTATATATATATACACATATATATTATATATATAAAATAAACTTTTCTGGCAGTAAACAAGACTTTTTCATAGTGCCCATAAATAGCATCATTGGCCTCACAGCTGTTACTGGGTTCATTTCTAGCAGCAGAGAGAAGACCTGAGATGCAAGAGAGCCAGGTTCCCTTTCCTTGAAGGCTCTTTGGGCCTTCCGTGACCACGTGTGTTGTCGCACATGAGGCAGAAACACAATTTGTCCCTGCTGTCCATGGAGTTGGATCCCAAGATCTCCCTGGTTAGTGCAGGTTGTCCTGAGAGTGGAGGGGGCTGCCAGGTGCCACTGGGGTTAATCCCAAAGCCTCAGCAGAATGGGAAGGGGATCAAATACCAAAATGAAGAGATCCTGCAATCCAGCTTTGGGCAAAGGGATGGGAAATAGTGAAACTAAGAGAAAAACACACAGAATCTCTTTGTTTCTTTTCCATTGATCCGGTTCTCAAGTTGTGTAAGAGCTTAAAGGTGAGGAGGAGGAGGATGAGGGTGTGTCCTGGGACTTGGGCGGCTGCCAAAGTCTTTGCTGATTAATTATTTAAAAAGATTTCATTCTTGTTATTATTTTATTCTTGTAAAATATGAAATATTTTTAAAAGAAGTCCATCAAATCTTGGATAAAAAAAAAAAAAAAAAAAAGAATTCCTGTAGGATCTTCAAGAAACGCGTGTTTAAGTACAGCCAGTGCATGTCACATTGTATGACACAATTATGTAACCTACTACGCAGAGAATAATGCTGATGACTGCCTGGAATTCTGTTCCCTAATTTCTAAACATATTTTATGTTTTTCTGTAGTTATTGACGGATGCAAAGTTAACATATTATATACATACTCACATATTAGACAAAATGATAGAAAATAATTATTGAATCACTTTTTCAGTTTCAAAAATAAGTATCTAAGGAATAATTTAATTTGTGAATATAAACTGAACAAGTAGAAATAGGCATACCTAGGTACAGTAGAGATTTTCTAGCCTTACCGCAGAGTAGCACTACCAGAGTGTTACATCGCACCACATACATAATTATCAGTTGTTGCACAAGTCTTGGAAATAGCAGTGTTAAAACTTCAATGTAATCTAAAAACACATATGCAAGAAAAGAGATTGGCAGAGAAGGAGGATAAGAGGTACTCAAATTCCTAAGTGAAATAAACAGATCTGCAGCGATAATGATTACATGTTCATACTAGGAACAGAATTGTGGAAGGTTTAATCTGTCTAAACAGTCAAGGAATTCAAAGAAAATTAAATTTTGGATGCTGTTTATGTGTATTTAGAGTAGAAGATAGGTTAGGGCAATGAATAGGAACATTAGCCAGTTACAAAAACTGCAATGCTGCCCATGYTGTCAGAGCAGCATTAATTGGTATGTTAATAACATGCACAGTGCTACATTGGTCTGTCTTACAGACTCTGATCCCATTGTCATCCATCTAATATTTGATTCTCACAGTTATTCCAGTGTCATGTTACAAGATACAATTAACATCTGCAAAATGTTTTGTTTCATCCCATTCTCAGGATAGTATGTGTGTGACAGAGTGGGGTTTGGGGTTCTAATGGCATTACTATGAATTTCCACTAAAATCACATTAACGGTAGCAATACACATGAGTAAAAAAAAACATCTTTGGCTCTGCAATTGCCCTGAAGTCTGTGCAATATGGCTCTAGCCCCAACGAATTTACAGCCTCATTGCTGCTGCAAGTACAACATGGACTTGGTTTAGGAAGGGGGTCAAAGCATTAATCAATGTCATTACACTTCATAAAGGATATTGATGGCTTTTGTGTTAGCATGAATAATGTACATTGATTATCTACATATGATTTATAGACCTAGGAGATCCTCATTCTTTACAGAAGGCTTAAGTAAATATGCCTTCTGCAAGAGACCTCTTTGTATAGGTAGGAGACACTTCCTTCCCAAGATGGAAAGGTTTTTGTGTGTCTCCTAGGTAGGATATTTGGATCAGTCAATCTAGGCAATTTCATTRCACTTAGAGCTTATGGCTCAAAATAATATGTTAACTTAGAATTTTCAGAGGCGGTAAAAATTTCATGCAGTGACCAAAGTTGGGACTGTCATCAAATATGGAACTGCTGATGATAATCTTGCTACAAAATCTACTGCTTAGCTGGGCAGACAAATCAAACAGCTCCCCATAGCAACTGCCTCTGAGGAACTTAATATTACTGGAACATAATGCTACTAGTAATTGCAGCATCTTAATCTCAAAACTAGAAGTTCTTTTTGTCTTTATATATTTGTATCTCTTTATTTGGATAGCAGTAACAGAAAATTAGTTTTCACTGTTTTTTAAATATATAATGAACAATACTCAAAGCATTTACTTTCAGCTTTCCTTGAGAAGAAAACTAGGGACTGCACCAGAGCCTGACATTAGCTGGATGGCCCCTTGCAGGAAAAGTGCAATATCCAAGCTTTCCCCATCCCGAGTCAATAAACAAGAGGCAAAGTCAAATAAAAAAAAACCCCAACAGTTTCAAGGTATAATTTAAACTGTGATGAAACACTAAGTGTACCAGAAATTGATTTTGCAAACTAGACTTTTACAACTCTGAACGGAAACAATATTGGCTGTCCTCTTGTGCTTAACTATGTTCCCCCATATGCATCAGTGTTTTTTGAAGTTTTAGCAAAATGTTCACCACTGCATATAATAAAAGCACTTATAATTTACCTGAATGTCCCTGATTTTATTATCCAGCAAATGAGCACAATATATTTCTTCCTAAATGCATAATTATTTGATTACATTTTATGTGTAAAATGTTCTTTACTCACAATTCCCAAATATTGAGATCTTGATGAAGCAGTGAACATGTTACAGATAAAGGTCTGAACCCCATAAACCCTTTATGAAGGCCAGCCTAGAGGCTCTGCAGATGCTTTGAAGCAGCAGTAGAGGCAACCTGGAAAGCAGATATGGATGTGGAAGAGCCAAGCCCAGCGCAATGTGGAACACCGCCAGTCTTTTTTTATGGAATTGAAGCTTACCTACATAAAGGTCAGCAACAGCTTTACTCTAGAGGAATAAAGAATAAACCAAGTATCAAGTGCTCCAGCTTTAATTCCAGCTTTAATTCAGCTGTCAAAGTTAGCCATTTGTTTTTTGAGCGAATTACTTAAAATCTCTGCTTCAGTATTTTGTACTTAAAAAAGGTGTTGACTATAGGAGATAGCTGATCAAATCACAAAACTTAATTTTGGTTTTGTCCTAGAATAAAAGAGAAATCCCAAATAGAAGCAACTGACTTCCTACAAAAATATTTGCCTTTTATTCATGTTTTCAAACCATATCTACCTTGGAATTCTCTGTATGCTAATTGCCTCTTTGCTGCTCACCCCCTACAAATGCTTTTACCATAAATTTTTATTTCATAATTGTTAGCCCTTTACAAATTAGCCAGTACATTCAACTAGAGATAAGTAGGATAACACAGCAGCATCAAGTTAGGCTAATGAGTTTCGGCTGAAAAGTTCTTGCTTTTTAAGCAGAACCTCAAGGATAAATTTATTTATTTATTAATTTTTTTTTTGTACCTTATGGTTCACAGTTACTGGTAACAGTGTAAATTCTAGATACCGAACATGGCAACACTTTGCTAGGTAACTGAAAAGTACTCAGAGACAAAACAAGAATGTTTTTAGGAACAAGGGAAAAATAACTAGCTACCACATTGCAGGCAAAATGCTGTTCTAAAGTCTCACTCAGCATCAGCTTAGAAGTTGGAACTATATTTATATAGTGTGGATTGTTTAAAGAGAATAGCCTTACAATGGGCACAAGATGAGCCTATAGCAGAAACATTTTATTGTGTCAAAGCAAGTTCCAGTTGACTTGCAGGTGGACATTTGGACCCATTAAGCTTACACTTTACTTAAATATCCCCAAGTTTCGTCTATAGCCTGGGTAGTTGGTGTAAATGTCACTGTTCCTCAGTTGGGAATGTCCTGGCCTTTTAGATAAACACATTCTCTAACTTGGAAAATTTGTGTAAGAATCTCAACCTGGGTCACTTACCTGGAGAATGAAGAACTTCCCCTATAAATATATATATATATATATATATATATGGAAATATATACACATTTTTTTTTCTTTAACTTACAAAGTGAAGAATTTAACAGTCTATTTGTCTTTCCCCAGTTCCTCTGAACTTTCAACTTGGTTGTCTCATAACTTCTTTCACAGCTGCTCTATTCTCTCCTATCAGCCACAGAGATTCCAAGAGCAGTTTTGGGGCCATGATTTTGGACCAAGTGATCAGTTGCAGGCTCCCCAGTTTTAATCACAAATATGGTAACAACAGCCATTGCTTTTGCCAGCGTTGGGCTTCCAGACTCTGCTATAGATGAAATTTTGTAGCCCAGTATAGCTTTGCCCT